AGGCCCATCAAATGAATCACTCCAGGGAGCTTCTGCCCACAAAAGGACCGCTAGCCTTTGTGGCTACTGGAGACCACAAATTCAGACTTTCCTGTAGTCATTGATTCTTTGATAAACTGATAGTTTGCATTTGCAGTTAAACATTAACTGTTTTCCCATAGTCAATCTATGCATTGTTTAGGTTGGAGTCTTCAATATCAATGAATGATCCAAACTAATTCCTATTACCATGAGAAGATGAGGAGGGAAAAGGAAGAAGTTTAAGTTGGGAAGGGAAGTGTCAGGTTTAGGCAATTTTATTTCCAAAAGGATGGTATCAAATCAAAACCAAGCTAGCTGCTGTTGAGTCCTTTCTGACTCAGTGATCTTATAGGACAGAGGAGAACTGCTTGCTAACCACAAGGTTAGGGGTTCAAACACACCAGTAGCTCCTTAGAAACCCTTAACACAGGGTCGCTATGAGTCTGAACCAATTTGACAGCACATAAAAGCAGCAACAATCTTCACAGAAGTAGTCCTGGTGGTGCAGTGGCTAAGCACTGGATTGCTAACCAATTCAAACCCACCAGGTGCTCCAGGAGAGAAAGATACAGCAGTCTACTTCCATGGAGATTGTTGTTGTTGTTGTTAAGTGCCATCTAGTTGGTTCTGACTCATAGCGACCCTGTATAGAGTTTCTGAGGAGCAGCTCGTGAGTTTGAACCACCAACCTTACAGTTTAAATCAACCTTGTGGTCCAGTGCATTGTCCTGCAGCCCCACACCAGGACTCCGCTATAAAGATTGTTGTTAAAAGTTGTTGAGTCAGTTCTGACTCATGCTTTAATCACTGCACCACCAGAGCTTCTTAAAGGTTGTATTACTATCCTTTAAAAAGCAGTGTGACCACCCTTATTCACAAAACTCAGTAGCTTATATGTTAAGCATTCTTCTAGCTCTGTCTTCCCACCTCACTGACATATTGAAATGTATTCCCAACCTTCACAAGCTGTTGCTGAATTGACTCAGGGTTAAGAACACCTTCCCGAAGCACCTGACTTTCAGAGCATATACTCTCAAGAAACTGACTCACACTTTTGGAGATATAATATTTTAAAAAATAAAGTAAAAGATAACTGCTTAATTAAGTATATAAATTCAAAAAAGACAGAGAACAGTGTTAGATCTTTAGAGTAAAAGTTGTTCCTTCCCATTTTACTCCTTTATTCGAACCCTGTTACCATTACTGCATCAAACTTTACTAAGTTTATGGTCATCAGCTGGTGTGAGAATTTTATGAAAACAGTTACATAGGAACATAGAAGTCTCATGAGTATATTCTTTCTTTTCGTTTCCATGACTATGCATAAAGATACCTAACATATAAACCAGTTGCCTTCTAGTTGATTCTGACGTATGATGATCTAGTGGGCTTCAGAGTAGAACTATATTCTTCACAGGGTTTTCAAAGGCTAATTCTTCAGAAGTAAATTGTCAGGCTTTTCATCCAAGGCACCTCCAAACAGATTCAAATTTTCAATCTTTCAGTTAGCAATGAGTGATTTTTAACTACTTGCACCAATCAAAAATTCCAACTTATATATGCTATATTGCATCATCCAGTCTACTTCAACTGCAGTGACTCTATATAATTGAGTACAGCTGCCCCATAGAGATTCCTAGGTCTGGTGTGGTGCTGTAGGATCAGCACTGACCTGCTAACCGCAAGGTCAGTGTTTAAACCCACCAGTCACTCCTCAGAAACCCGATACAAGGCCGCTATGAATATGAACCAATTCAATGTCACATAACAATGGCAACAATCTTTACAAAAGTAGCCCTAGTGATGCAGTGGCTAAGCACTGGACTGCTAACCAATTCAAACCCACCAAGTGTTCCAGGTCTAATAATGTCATAAAGATTGTTGTTGTTAAGTTGGTTCTGACTCATAGCTATTCTGTATAGGGTTTCCAAGGAATGGCTGGTGAGTTTGAACCATTGACCTTATAGTTCAAACTCTTGTGGTCCAGTGCATTATCCTATAGCACCATACCAGGACTCCCCATAAAGATTGTTGTTGTTGTTAAGTGCTGTGAAGTCCAGTCAGTTCTAACCCACAGAGACCCTGTATAGGATTTCCAAGGAAAGGCCGGTGAATTTGAACCATCGACCTTGTAGTTGCAAACCAACCTTGCAGTCCAGCGCATTAGCCCGCAGCACCACGCCAAGACCCTACAAAGATTACAGCCTAGGAAACCCTAGGGGCAGTTCTACTCTGTCCAAAAGGGTCTCTGAGTTGGAATCAAGTCAGATGGAAATCGTTACATGAGCAAATCCCAAGGTCTTTTCCCCAGCAGAGCTGCTGCTGGGTTCAAATCACCAACATTTGGTTTAACAGTTGATTGCTTAACCATTGCACCACCAAGACCCTTTACCAGATATGTTGTTGTTGTTAAGTAAGTAGCACCACACCAGGAATTACCAGATATAGGAAACCCCAAAACCAACTCACTGCCACTAAGTTGATTCTGATTTATGGTGGCCCTAAAGGACAGAGGAGGATTGCCACATAGGGTTCCCAAGGCTGTCATCTTTCTGAGGGAAAACTGCCACATACTTCTCCCAATGAGACTTGGGGGGTTGGAACCACTGGCCTTTCAATTAGCAACTGAGCACTTAACCACTGTGCTACCAGAGTTCCATACCTAATATTTATTATTGTTGTGAAGTGCCGTCGAGTTGGTTCTGACCCATAGTAACACTGTATAGGATTTCCAAGGAGCAGCTGATAAGCTTTAACCACTGACCTTGCAGTTCAAATGGCATTGCCATCTGGCACATTAACCCAGAGCGCCACGCCAGGATTCCTACCTAATACTTAAGATACCCTAAGTAGACATGAGCTTTCATCTGCCCTTTTTTCCCTACTTGGAAGATTTCCCCCGGTTTCCATATCCTTTCCTTAGATTAAGGTTTTAAGGGAAAAAAAAGACTAGAAAACATATTCAGCTGAAATTCATACAACAGTGTCATATAGTCTGTGTTCATATCTTAACTAGACACTTACTGAAATGTAATTTTTCAAACTTGCTTCATCTCCCCATGCCTTGCTTTTCTTATTTGTTTGAAGATAAGTTAAAAAAAAATATTACTGCAAAATCATACAGACTTTGTTCAACAAAATTATTAAAATATGAAGCTCTGTTTCTCAACATATCCTCTGTCTGGGTCTACACACTTCTATCTAACCATTTCCTAAGGAATTTTATGTTCTTTGATTTATACCATATCAAAACGGCAGTTTTGGAATCCTGGAGGGATTCAGATCATGTTCCTTTTCAATGAATTTTGAGTTTTGGGGGGGAAAAGGCCTGATGGCACAAAGTCAGGGCAGTGGGGTAAACGGGCTAAGGTTTCCCAAGGAAATTTTCATAGCCCTTTCTACCCTCCAAGAATGAACAGGGAAAAATCCCTAGACTTTTCATCATCAGTGCAGTTTTCAGTGTTCTTCATAATAAACCCTCGTTATTGTTCTGCATCCTTTAAAGAAATCTATCAAGATTACCCCTCTGATAGCGTAGTGGTTACGAATCGGGCTGCGAACCGCAAGGTCAACAGTTCGAAACTACCAGCTGCTCCGCGGGAGAAAGATGAGGCTTTCTGCTCCCGTAAAGATTTACAGGCTCGGAAACCCTGTACAGGGTCGCTATGGGTCGGAATCGACTCGACGGCACATAACAACAACAACAACAAATTGTTCTGCATCCTTCAAGGAAATCTATCAAGATTACCCCTTTGTTGTTGGTTAGTACTGTTGAGTCAGTTCCAACTCATAACAGCCTTGTGTAGGGTTTCCAAAAAGTAGCTGGTGGATTTGAACCTCCAGCCTTGTGGTTAACAGTCCAGTGCTTTAGAATCTTGATATAACTGTTGTGATAACCTTTTGAGTTGACCTTTCTGCCTTGAATTTAACTCACCCCTTGACAGCACTGTTTTAATTAGACCTTTGTTGGTTTTTTGGTTTTTTTGAAGGCACCCTAACAAGACTAGGCTAAGCGTGTTACTGAGAGTATGAACTGGAATCCAGCATCAATACTTTCGACTACCTTCATATAATGATAATAAAAGAGGTGGATCTCCTTAGCTTGCCAGGAGATAAGTGTTTGAAGGAGAAGACTGAGAACACTTCTTATCACTCCATAAAAGTTCTGTCCCATTATCACAAGTTATAATAAACTTTTCATCTCTAAGCTTTCGTATACTTCCAAAGTATTTCAACAAACAGTCACAACTATAAATGCTCTAGCTGACCATCTGGATATTAACAATTCAGGCATTTATTTGATTAGATATTGGCCCATCATTTAGAGATGGGGAAGAGATATCAAGATTGAGAGTAAGGGACAAAGTTGGTTCTATAGTCAGGAGAAAAGAGAATTAATATAGTGATTTAATATGTGTGGGAAAGGTAGAAAATTCTTTTATTGAATTTTCCAGCCAAGCCAAATTAAACTTTCAGAAGACTTAAAACTCAAAGTCACTTGGTTTAGGTAGATGATGATTATGCATCTAAAGTCTGGCTCTAATAGGATCAGTAAAATTAATTTACCAGACATTTCAGAACCCAGGCTACATAATGGATATCAGTTTATCAAGACAGTTTTTGAATAGACTTCATGGCATGACAACTAAATAACCAAACACAGCAAACTCAACACATTTTCTAATTATCCCTGCCCAAGCTGGAAAAAGTCTTGTAGACTGATTAATTTAACTTGTCTTCAACAGCTTAAAGAAGTCTGATTCGGATGTAATAAAAAGTTTATTGGCATTGCTGATTTCGCACATGTCAATTGCTTTAGCTTGTCAAACACTTCACAACTTGCTTTGAAGACCAAATTACTTTCTACCCAGAAATATACTTTTGGAAATATTAAATTGGTTAATTATGGTTAAGTTAATAGGCAGAGACTGCTGTTTTCATGGTCTTTCTGAAATCAACTAGGACAACCTTCATCTTACCTTATAGTGTAATTCATGACCTTCTTTTAACAGACTGGGATCACAGTCCATAGAGCAGGGACCGATTTTATTAGCAATGTTTCCTAGGGTTAAAAACAGAAGGTGGAAAAATTACATTGCAGATTTTCTCTTCAGAAAAGATGGAACCCTACAGGGCTGAAATCCTGAGAAATGTAAGTAAAAGAAAGAATTTAAAGGAGGCCCCAAGCTATTCTATGTATCCAGTTTTAATTCAGCCAGTAGGTTACCATGGGCCACATGACTGGGATGCAATTCACAAGCAGTAGCTGTGTCTCTTCTGCTATCTGCCCTCATCCTGGTAGGATCTTCCAAAGCAACTCTCTGTACCTCGTATCAGCATTTCCATATGAAACCTTGAGATTACAGAGTTCTATGTTTCGCCAGCACCCACCTGTCTAACATGAATTGTTCTGTATCAGTGATTGTCTTCAGAGATTCTCTTCAGAGACACTGCTGGCATTTTGAACTGAATCATTCTTTTTGGAGGGCAGGGGCTGGCTGTCCTGTACTTTGTAGGATGTTCAACAATATCCCTGGCCTCTACCCCTTAGCTGCCCATAGTATCCTCTACCTCCCTGAATTGGTTATGGTTTTGTATCAATTTGACTAGGCCAGAATTTCCAGAGGTTTATCAGTTGGGATATGCTTATTCCCATAGTGATAAAAACTAATACAGGCATAGTTAGTTCTATAATGAGCAGCTTTGAACATCCAATCAATTAAAGGGATGCTTCCATGTGGGTGTGGTCTGCTCTCAATATAATCCACAAATGGTAGGGCCTCTCTCTGTCTTCCTCTGGGGTCCTGGAACTCTGCAGTTTTAAACCATTTACTTGATAATAAATTTCTCTCTATCCCTACCCATATATCTCTTACTGGTTTTACTTCTCTAGAGAACCAAGCCTAAGACTATCTTCACATTCTGACAACTAAAAATATCACTAGACATTGCCAAATATCTCCAGTAAACAAAACCAAGATTACTAAATCCTTGAGGATGATGTGTCATTTCCATCTTTGTTTCTCCTTGGCATTTAGTACAGTGTCTGAAACAAATTACCTTCTCAACAAGTGTTCCTTAAATGGAACAACAAATAAATAAATGGAAATATCACAACACCTGGTATTGCTTCAGCTTTGTGTTTCTCAACTCATTGAGCCAATCTCTCACTTTGATGAGCCCACATGTCAAGGTTTATTTCCCGGATCTTGGTCTTGAAGCAGCAAGAGCTTGCTAGTGATGCAGAAGAGATACAGCTTTTATCAAAAGATGGGCATGGCAGCTTTTTCAAAAGTATATATGTGGTGGGATCGGTGGTGATTTAATAGTAGAATGTCTCCTTTCCATGAAGGAGAACTGGGTTCAAGTCCCAGAAGTTACACCCGATACGCAGTCCACACCCATCTGTCATGGGAGGCTTCCGTGTTGCTATGATGCTGAATAGGCTTCAGCAGAGCTTCTAGAGTAAGATGAACTAGGAAGAAAGGTTTAACAATTTACATCCAAAAATCAGCCATTGAAAACCCTATATATCACAATGGTCCAACCTGCTGTTGATCATCAGAACAGCACAATGGTCAACAGACTGGGCACAGTGTTGCATGGTGTACCATGAATCAAGGGGAACTCAACAGCAACTAAGAACAGCATGTGTCATATACCATGTGTAACCAAGGTCTTCTTGCCTATACTCTCTACCCCTCCAGGGGTGGAGCGCTTTCAGCCCTGTCCTTTGGAATTGCCTCCGTGGACATTTCCAGTCAGATCTCAGCATCGTGAAAATTTCAGGACTTGGGTCCAGGCTGGAACAATTTGGGAACATTTTCCTTTTTTGGGGGGGGAGGGTCATTTTCTTGCCAAGGGTGACCCAGCCAGTATCTTGTCCCCAAGTCTATATTTGTTAGATTTATAAGACTCATGCATCTAGTGCACAAATGATTTCCAGTCTCATCCCTAGCTCTTTTATTTCATCATTTGTTCCACGTTGTTTTAGCTTCTCTACACTCAAGATTAAGTTTCAGAGTCTTTTCTGACATCCATTTTGGGGTGTTTTTTTTTTCCTGTTTTTTAATGGCCTTCTGCTTTCTTCACATATGATAGTCTTGATGGCATCCCACAGCTCCTCTGGTCTCAGGTCATTAATTTTCAATGAATCTATCAATGTAGGTTTGTATGTTGTTATGATGTTGAAAAGGTTTCCATGGATCTATCTACTTCCTAAAATCAGACAACGAAAGCTCTATAAATAACAGTGGTCTGATCCCTAACCCATCATGAAGATGATGAAGGACTTGGTAGCCTTGTGTACTGTGCATAGTGTTACCATGAGTTGAAGGTTAGCTAACAACAATGACATAGTTATTGTGTGTTAAAATGATATTGCATGTGGACGATAATAATTAAAAAAAAAATAGACTCCCAAAAGTTTTTAACTTATTCTTTTAGCTAAACACAGGAAGAGTATTCCTTAAAGCCTATCGTCCCTCTTATATACATTTATATATGAAAGCAAAGAGGACTTAAAATACTTATTGATGAAGCTCAGAGACAACAGCCTTCGTTCAATATGTGTTACACCTCAATGTAAGGAAAACAGAAATACTCATCAATAGATAAGTAAAAAAAATCCACATAAATGGAGAAAATATTGAAGTTATCAGACTTCATTTTTTCTCAGCTCAACCATCAGCACTCATGGAAGCAGAAGTCAAGAAATCAAATGACATTGTATTAGGCAAATGTGCTTCACAAGACCTCTTTAAAATATTCAAAAGCAAAGATGTCAGTTTGAGGACTAAAGTGTGCCTGACCCAAGCCATGGGTCAATAACCTCATATGAATGTGAAAGTTGGACAGTGAATAAGGAAGGCTATAGAAGAAATGATGCATTTGAGTGATGGTGTTGGAGGAGAATATTGAAAGTACCATGGACTGCCAAAAGAACCAACAAATTTGTTTTGGACAAAGTGCAGCCAGAGTGCTCCTTAGAAGGAAGATGGCCATACTTCATCTCTCATACTTAGGCCATAATATCAGGAGGGACCAATCACTGGGGAAGGATGTCATGTTTGGTAAAATGGAGAGTAAGCAAAAAAGAGGAAGATCCACAACAAGATGGATTGGCATATTGGTGGTAGCAAGGGGCTTGAGTGTAACACCAATTGTGAGGTTGAAGCAGGACTGGGCAGTGTTTCATTCTGTTGTGCATGAAGTTTCAGTGAGTTGGTAGCAACTCAATGCACCTAATAACCACAACAATAAAAATATATTGCTGACTTTGAGGTTCAAACTGACCTCACCGTCTGGTCCTTTATACTACAGTGCCATACCAGGACTACATTATATAAATGTATGTATAGCATATATTTTACCAAATTATTATTGACCACATTTACAGTTTAACTACTTTTTTTGCATTTAAAATGTTATAGTTACCCTGCTGGTGGTGGCTGTATGCCGTGGAGTCAGTTCCAACTCATAGCAACCCTGTACAGGGTTTCCAAGGCTATAAATCTTTATGGGAGCAGAACACCTCATCTTTCTCCCTCGAAACAGCTGGTAGTTTCAAACTGCTGACCTTGCAGTTCTCAGCCCAATTCGTAACCACTACTTCCTATTAAATATTCCCCAAAGATTGATTTTTAATCACTGCATCATATGGTTTTATTTAACCAACCATCTTTGAATTGATATTTTATCATGTTGAACAAATTATACAAAAATCTTGATTTTCATCTGTGCTCATTTTTGTTTTTTTTAAATGAGTGTCTAGGATCAGGAATGCGTATAGTAATCAAATACTTATGATTCTTACCACTGCACTGCAAAAGGAATTATCAACACTCAAACTGCAACAAGCAATCTATGGAAGTGTCCAATTATTCACATACTTACCCAAACCAACTGTCCCCACATTTTTCTTTATTTTTTTTGTTTATTTGATAGACAAAATAATAATTTTTCATTTATACTCCTGTAATTCTAAAAGTTTTTTTTTTTTAATGTTTGTCAAGCATTTATGCCATCTGTGTTATTAATTACCTGCCCTCCTAGCCATTTCCTCAATTTTTTTTTTTTTTAATTTCAGTTAGAATATTTCACTTTCTATTTTGGATTCTTAAGTTATATTTAAATATTAAAGATATTAACTCTGTTCCTGCCCAAAGTGTTCAATTTTTTTTTTTTTTTTAGGTTTGCAGCATGGGATTGTAAGTGTATTATGCATGTGTATAATGCGTACACTTCATTTTTATGTAGTTATGTGCATCTTCTTCTGCTTATAAGCTTAGAACGTCTTTCCATCGTATGTAAGTCAAGTAAATTGCACCTCAACAAATAAATAAATTTGTACATAAACAAAGACCTCATGGAGTTCTTCCATGGCTTTCTTTCGTGCTTGCATTTCCACTTCTAGGTGAGCCGTCAGGCGTGCAGCAGTTCTTCGAACTCTCCAGGCTCACACAGGCAAGCAGAACTGGCCTTCATTTGTCCTTGTGTTTCCTATTTCTTTCCATTATCCTGCCATTCTCCAAGCCACTCAGGCTCAAAACCTCTCTGTCTCTCATAAATTTTCCTTCTCTGTTTCCATCCTTATCTAATAAGTTGTCACATTTTCTTAAACCTCAAAAAAAATAGCTTGTATATCCATTCCCTCCTCCCTTCAACTATCGCCCTGGCTTGAGCTTTCGTCACTTCCTTCCCCACATGTACAGGCAGAGAGAGAAACAGACAATCAGAAAAATCGAAGAAGCCATTTTAACTGAAGTAAAATGACACCATACACTTTTGCCCGCTACTTGTTTTTGATATGTATTAAGAAATCATGGTTATCTTTTTAAGTTATACAATACGAGGGGAGGGGGGCTTCAAAATGTTCATGGAAAAATTCCATTATTCTTCAATTCCATACTCCACAAGTTTTTTGAAGCCATATATATATACTTAATGGTCTTTTTTTTCCCCTTTAATCCCCCTCCATAACTCCCATTGATTCTCCCCTAAATGAGGCATTGGTGGTTCAGGGGTAGCATTTTCACCTTTCATGGCGGAGACCCATGTTGG